TGGTAGTCTTCCCCTGGCTCTTCACCAAAGTCTAGATCTTGATTCTCCCAGTAACGAGGCCCTCCAGCATCAAGATTACGTGGAGGAGCTGGCTGTGGCGTAGATATCGCTGCTGCGCCAACCGTCTCTTGCGTTTGAGGTGTCTCGTTGGATAGCGCCGATGCATCGTTCGTGCCAGATGGAAACTCGCCCTCATCAGACTCCGTGATGTTGCCGTCACTCCCGTCGTCTTCCCCATATTCATTACACGCTCCACCACAGTCCTCCGGCTCGTCCATACACATGTAGCAGAAGTGCGCTCCACATCGACACTCCATGTGTAGACAACCGTACATTCGTTTCAGTCCATGACCGCACTTTGGACACCTCTTATATCCCCAGCTCTTCAGTAGCTCGGTAGTTTCTGCATCGATGCCGAATTCAGAGATATTGCATATAGCGTCCGGATGAGCGACTTGCCGACATGCGAGACAGATCTCAGCTGAGCAGGTTGGACACGCAAAGACGTTCAACGTTGGCGTTCCAACACCAGAGTCAACGCGCTTCCCTCGCTTTTTCGTCGCCTGATCGGGCAGGAGTCGCTCTGGAATGAAGGCCGAGCATGTTGGCACTGGGCAATAGAATGGATTTGGTGTGAGCCACTCTTCGTACTTCGATTTGAACTCTGTGAATTCCTCCTTCGTCAGATGTGGTTTTGCGTAATGAATTGGTATCTGTCCGCAGCACCTTGGAGGCATGCGCGTAGTATCTTTGCAGCATTCGGTGAACATCCTCTTGATGCACGACCCACAGTATGTACTGCCACATTGTCTGCATGGCTTCACAACCTCCTTTGAGTGCTTCGGACTTTTGGCACCTGGTAACTCCGTACAGCATATAATACATTGTACTTCTGGTAATGGTAAGGTAAGAGTAGGCTTTGCTGGTGCTGGAGGAGGCGGGGGCATGGTAGTCGCGGGCGGCGGTTCAGGGTCGGCATGATCGTGTTGGATAGACATGAGTCGACGCTCTTCTAAGAAGAGAAGGAACGAAGTGGTGATGTTTGGGGCTTGTTCCATAGCTATGGAAGGTGCAAGAGTCGCGAACGTTGTTGCGGGCGCGCTGTTGCGTCTTTGCGGAATAGCTGGTACGGTGGTAGAGGTTGCAACGTTGATATCGTCGTAACAATAAGGGTCTGAGACCCGTGATGTGGCCTCTTGGCATTGCGTTTGTGCGTTTGCATGGTCAATGTCGTGATGTTGGGCAGTTGCGTCTGGCGAGGCAGCAGCCTCCACGTGCGGGCGTACCGCTCGAGAGAACTTGGAACCCATGGTAAACGAGATGGCTTATGCGACTGTGTCACATAAAGATGTCGACAACATCACCTTAAGTAGAGAGCAGCATGTAGTTGAATGTGCGAGGTTTGACTCAAGGCTGTTGACTCAACGGAAGGCGCAGTGGTGCTGCCTGCAGGCAGCCAGCCTTGCGGCGCTGACAGTCATTGGCTTCGACGAGACATCATCACAGTACCCCACAGATACCAGACATCTCCTAGCTTTAATGAGGCTGTGGCCTGAAAACGAATCTGATGTACCTCTATAATGTATGCTGATTGATCAACCAATGCTCCGAGACTCGTGTCGTACTGCGAGAGCATAGTGAGGGCTGACCATGACGTCAGATCACGAGCCTTCGCCCTTCAGCCACATGACTCTGGTAGAGGCACAACAACAGAACCTCGAAACATAGGATGTTCCGCCCTTTCGATAGCAGAGAGCTGTATGCGGTTGAGGGTACGATGTCGTGCACAGCCAGCAGGCGGGCTATTCTCTAGAAGCTCCACCAACCCCGCACCAGGTTTAGCGCCATCTGGTGCTTCCTCTTTCGCTAGCTTTCACACTCGAACACCGTATTCGCCATAATCCATCGTCCACATTTGTATCGGAGTACGCCTACTAGGGAACAGTTGCTGGATCCGCTTCTTGTCGCTACCATCTGATGAAGATCACCTGGCCATCGTCTTGTACCCTAAAGATCATGGCGCGTACCGGCACGAAGGGTAGGCGTCCACCTGTGTAGCTTAATGCTCTTCGTCCTCAGACGTGCTTCCAGGTCCGAGTCAGACATGTTTGTCTGATGTTGCTGTGAAGCTCAAAATCTTTCTGTTCGCGATTCCGCGCCAGCTGGAAACCAGACATGCTTCGTCATCAATGCCGCAACTCTCGAAGCTAGTCAGACCCTGAGCCACGCACACTTATGAAGGCGCATCTCCGAAAGAGATCGATTGTCGTCTCCAGCTACTAAAATTCCGTATGGCGCTGCATCAAAGACATGCTAGACTTGATCGGATTTAGGCTCGAAAGAAGAACAGGCTCCACAATCTAAGTTCAGTATTTCGACGGAGTGAAAAGTTCAATGTAATACGTGATATGTGATCCAAGTTATCTCGAAAAGCTCGGCTATGGGCTAGGCTCAACTGCGGATATAACATGACGGCCCGGTGCAATTCAATCTGACCGCACCGAGATGATGTTGAGTAAGCCTACGCCGTTGGGCACAACTCCAAGAGAGAGCTCCAATCTCTTGCATCGGCATCGTGGAATGTGGCGCAGACGGTCGTCTTCGCCCGAAATACGCTCATAGGTTTATACGCTGAAACCTGGTAGACTTCTGCAGGCTAGACGTAATAGGTGCTATTTCCACGCGGAGCGGGGTATATAGCGTGAACGACTCATGCAAGTCCTTGCACAGGACGACGACATCTAGATTGACCACCACCAGCGATATGCCTTGAAAGCGCGAAGCTAATACACCGCGACTACGTTAATTAAGTTGCGATCGTCACACTGGAAAACGGGTACTCGGATATTGCTGGTATTCTTAGGACTCGGAGCCAACGAGGCTAGCGATGTTCTTGGGTAGGGATCGCAGACTATCGGTGTACCGCGAGGTACTTTTGACATTCAAGGTACTTTGTACCGTTTACAACGTAGTGACCAATTGAGAGACAGCCAAGCATGGCGGATGGTTGAATACATGCCGAACAACGTACCGTCGGCTCGTATATCCGCTTGGTATTGACGCGATGCTGCTCTGAGAGAAAAGGTGTAGCACAAATGGGTCAGTATCGGGGTCAAGTTACTCAGACTAGATCAGTGACGTGAGTGACTTTCGTTGTACCACCTGCCGAGTGGGGCGGCCCACGAGAGCGTCCTGGTGCTTACTAGATCATCCGGTGGAAAAGCTCTCAAGCGCACCTGGTCGGCTGCTAGTTGCTCGACAGCACACGCCGAGGCAACGGTCCGGACGTAAACGTGAGCTTGCAAAACGGGAGCATGTCCTCAAAGAGTTTTCCCGAGGATTCGCCAATGTATAATGCGGGTGCTCCAGATAATACTGGGGTCTACCCCGAGGAGCTATACCGCCGATTTCTCAGCCCAACGGAATGTCGGACCTCACAGCAGACGCTACTGAGCAGATGCTAGAGACCAAGGTTTGCGACTTTGCGGCGCAGTTGAAGACGGAAGCATGGAAGCTCGAATACGACACCAACCCCGCACTGGGTGTCTTGCCCTGGGCTTGGACGTCTTGAGCCAACGAGACAGGGCGCCTCACGCACCTCCCACTGCGAGCTTGGCTGTTCTGTGGCGCTCGGAAAGGGCTTTTGAGTGTGAGCTTATATGCACGTCCGGGGTTGACGTAGGTAGATGACGATGTACACGGCCAGGGTCATTCAACGCGCCCGTGCACGTAGCTCAAGGGAGACGGGAGAGGAGCAACATTTCTTCTTTTCCCTTGTGGAGCTACCCTGACGTGATGCAGCTGCGAGAAGTCGATGGTCGCTGCATATGCGCAGCAGTCTTGACTGGAGATGGACCATGTGATGGGGCTTCCAAGGAAACATCGGGGCCAGAAGAACACAGCGGAGGCACCGGGGTGCGCTCCATCGAGTCATTGAGGGCTTAGGGGCGGGGATCAGCAGGTTCTGCACACGTCCCCCGCAGAAGAAGAGGCAGCCGCTTGCGCCTGGGGTCGTGACGGCGCATGGTGCTAGGGGACGGGTAGCTGGGCGCTGGGGAAGCTATGCCCTGCCCATGTCACTTGCTGCTCGCGGCTGTGAATAAAGCTGTCATGGCGCCCGGGACTTTAGGCCTGTGTCTGCGAGCGCTCTCAACTCCTACTTGCATACTACCACAGTAGATTTATATTACTGTGTTCTTGTATCTCAATCGCCGCGTTTCCCAGCCAGCCGGACGCCATGCTGTGGCTTGCACAAGCATTGTTTGCGGGCCTTGCCCACGCCCAGGTATGTTTGCACATTCTCTAATTACGCACCACAACGACGTTGGCACTGCGAGATATTTGTTATCAAGCTGCAGAGATGCTGCGCGATCTTGCGCATCTTGTTGTTGCCCTCTTCCCCTTTCTGCGCGCAGTACAATTCACCCCTGCAGCCGTGTTTACGAGCTTACGCTGATCATAAACAAGTATTCCAACAACACGGGCTCCAACGACACCAGCAGTCCATTGAACTTTGCTGAGAGTCCTCCATACTACCCCAGCCCGTACGTACAAATTTCGGCATATTACAAGTCATTAGCCGTAGAAGTGGGCTTGACAGGTGTGGAGAAGAGCGAAGGAGCGCCGGCTCCACCAAGCTTTCACATGCGGCAGTTGCATCGCGACACGACCGAACTTCACATCTGGAACACAGTTGCTGACTCGTAAATAGCTGGGCAGAGGACACCACCGGCGACTGGGCTGATGCCATTACCAAGGCAAAGGCATTTGTCAGCCAGCTTACTCTCATCGAGAAAGTGAACCTCACCACCGGAACTGGATGGCAGAGTGACGCCTGCGTTGGCAACGTTGGCGCCATCCCCCGTCTCGACTTCGACCCTCTCTGCTTGCAAGACAGCCCTCTGGGTATCCGTTTCGCCGATTACGTCTCTGCATTCCCTGCAGGTGGCACTATCGCTGCATCATGGGACCGTGGCGAGTTCTACCGCCGTGGTTACCAGATGGGTCAGGAGCACCGCGCAAAGGGTGTGGATGTGCAGCTCGGCCCTGCTATCGGTCCTCTTGGTCGCCATCCCAAGGGTGGAGTAAGTTATTCGACTCGATTGCCTTGACATTCACTAACATCTGCTCAGCGTAACTGGGAAGGTTTCTCCCCTGACCCAGTCTTGACTGGTCATGCTGTCGCCGATACCGTCCGCGGTATCCAGGACGCTGGTGTCATCGCATGCACCAAGCACTTCATCATGAACGAGCAGGAGCACTTCCGCCAGCCCGGTAACTTCGAGGACTTTGGCTTCGTCGATGCCATCAGCTCCAACTTGGATGACAAGACTCTGCACGAGCTCTACCTGTGGCCTTTCGCCGACGCCATCCGTGCTGGAACTGGATCCATCATGTGCTCTTACAACAAGGTCAACAACTCCCAGGTCTGCCAGAACTCGTACCTCCAGAACTACATCCTTAAGGGCGAGCTTGGCTTCCAAGGATTCATCGTCTCTGACTGGGATGCTCAACACTCTGGTGTCTCTTCCACCCTTGCTGGTCTGGACATGACTATGCCCGGTGACACCGACTTCAACTCTGGCCAGTCCTTCTGGGGAACCAACCTGACCATCTCCATCCTCAACGGTACCGTTCCCCAGTGGCGTCTCGACGATGCGGCTGTCCGTATCATGGCAGCATACTACTTCGTCGGCCTTGACGAGTCCATCCCTGTCAACTTCGACAGCTGGCAACGCGACACTTACGGATACGAGCACTACTACGCACAGGTTGGCAACAAGCTCGTCAACCAGCACATTGACGTTCGCATGGACCACTTCCGCTCCATTCGCCGCTCTGCTGCCAAGTCGACTGTCATGCTCAAGAACTCTGGTGTCCTTCCTCTCTCTGGAAACGAGAAGTGGACTGGTGTCTTCGGTAACGACGCTGGTGAGAACGAGTACGGTCCCAACGGATGCGCCGACCGTGGCTGTGACAACGGTACCTTGGCCATGGGCTGGGGCTCTGGAACCGCCGACTTCCCTTACTTGGTCACTCCTCTCGAGTCCATCAAGCGCGAGGTTACTGACAATGGTGGTGTCGTCACTTCCGTCACCGACAACTGGGCCTACGCGCAGATTCAGGCAATGGCTAGCCAGGTTAGCCACGCTATCGTCTTTGTCAACGCCGATTCTGGTGAAGGTTACATCACCGTCGATGGTATATTTTATCCTGCTTTTATATTGAAACCTTACTAACTCAGGCACAGGTAACATGGGTGACCGCAACAACCTCACTGTCTGGCAAGACGGTGAGACTCTGATTCAGAACGTGTCGGCACTGTGCAACAACACCATTGTCGTCATCCACTCTGTCGGACCTGTCCTTGTCAACAACTTCTACGACAACGAGAACATCACTGCCATTCTCTGGGCTGGTCTTCCCGGCCAAGAGTCTGGCAACGCCATCGTCGACATCCTCTACGGCCGCCACAACCCCGGTGGCAAGCTTCCCTTCACCATTGGCAGCTCCCAGGAAGAGTACGGCCCCGATGTCACTTACGAGCCCACCAACGGCCACGGCAGCCCCCAGGACAACTTCGACGAGGGTGTCTTCATTGACTACCGCGCGTTTGACAAGAAGAACATCACTCCTATCTACGAGTTCGGTTTCGGTCTCTCCTACACCACCTTTGAGTACTCTAACATCAGTGTCACAAAGGTGCCTGCTGGCGCATACGAACCCACTACTGGTCAGACCATCGCTGCCCCTACTCTTGGCAACTACAGCAGGAACATTGAGGAGTACCAGTTCCCCGCCAACTTCACTCGTCCGGCCACCTTCATCTACCCTTACCTGAACTCGACTGACCTTGCTGAGGCGTCGCAAGACCCTGAGTACGGTGTCGACTACACGTGGCCTGAAGGTTCCACTGATGGCTCACCTCAGGCTCGCATCGCCGCCGGTGGTGCTCCCGGTGGTAACCCTCAGCTGTGGGACGTCCTCTACACTGTTGAGGCCACCATCACCAACAACGGCACCGTCGCTGGTGACGAAGTTGTTCAGTGCTACATTGCTCTCGGTGGCCCTGAGGACCCTGTAGTCCAGCTCCGCGCCTTTGACCGTCTGAGCATCCAGCCCGGTATGAGCGCTACCTTCCACGCTGACATCACCCGCCGTGACATCAGCAACTGGGACGTCGCTGCCCAGAACTGGGTCATCTCCGAGTACCCCAAGACGGTGTACGTCGGTGCCAGCTCGCGTAAGTTGTTGCTTACTGCTGAGATGGACACAAGCGACTACACTTCTTAGAGGAGTCGTTGAGATCTGTATTGTTTGGATAAACACCATCAACAGTAATGTTCAATCCTTAATTGTCAGCTAGTCGTAGCTAGTATTATGAAGAAACGAATCTTTGTAACTATTGCCTGATGGTGTGTGCACGTGTCTTGCCTGTCAAACTTGGTGAAACCGCTACATGTACGCTTGATCGATCCAGACAGACGGCTATTTGCCCAATCGCGATGGATTGAGGGGTAATGCGTATCGCGGGCCGGCTGCGCTTCGGCGTGGAGCCTCGATGACGGGCGATAGTCAAGGACTGCGTTTACGAGGTGACTAATGTAGCTAAAGCGATCAAAATTCGACGCGTCACGGGACGAACGCTGCAAAGCTGCGATCGTTTTGCATGATGTCGACGCGGTATTCTACGACGTTCTTCGCTCATCGTGTAGCAGTACACACCGCAAGCGAGCGTGAGTAAGCGTCCGAAGCGGCAACGATTGGCGTCGAGTTGGTGGGCCGTTGGTGCAGCCAGCAGCGATCCTGTTGGCGGCATGCGAACGGTTTTCAAGCCCGATTGCATAGCGTCATTGTTTGCTTGGCTGGGCCCGACGCGCACAGTCGGCACCTGAGCGTTTGGGGCTTTTGGGTGCGCTGGAGAAGCAATGCTCAGGGTGCAATGACAGGAGGCGGGCATCATATTGCAGGCGTCCCGTTTGACAGCGGCGCAGCGTGCATGATGTTTGAAAGTCCGGGTCTGGGTCGCTCACGGCTGGGGGCGCGCAGCCAGCTACCGCGTTATTTTGATCACGAGTGCGCACGGATAGCATCTTGAGCCAGGACACCAAGGCGACGTAATTTGTCCCCTTCCGTGCTCCTGCGGCTCTGCTCCATTATCTCTCTATCGATAGCCACCGACTATCTGACTATCCCACGCGTCGCGCATTGTCACCGTTGTCTCGCTGCGTCCTGAGGTCATCGCTGCGCCTGCGCTAGCCACCAAGTCGCGTCGTGCTGGAATAACAAACACGCCGATACGTCGACCCTTCGGCCCACGACCGCGCGCTTTTCCACTCTTCTCGTCACCACCGCCCTGCGACGCCTGCCCCCGGCCCGCCGCCGCTCCCTGGACGACGCCTTCCAGTCGCGCGCAGTGCATTGGGAATCCAACACCGACGTTTCGCGGTAAGCAGCTCCCGTTCCGAGTGTGTCGAGTCGCTTGGTGGGGCGCCTGGCTGGCTGCTCTTCGCACGTCCGTGGCTGGCTCGTCCCTCTCCCATGGTCCGCCGTCACCACCCAAAACAAATAATACACGGATGCCCACACTCGCACAACTCTCGCTGATACATTTTCCTCCTCCACAGATTCGCTCGCTAGCCCCCCGCATGCACCATGTCGACTCGTAGAAGTCTTCGTTCGCGCAGAGACGCCCAGCAGCAGTCTGAACCCGACACGCCAGATGCCACGCCCTCGCGCAAGCGCAGGCGGGTGAGCAGCCCCAACACCACCAGTGTTGCGGCGAACTTGTACTCACTCGCACAGTTGAATGGCGCCGCCCAAGAGCCCGCTGCTACGGCCGCCCCCGACCCGCCCCGTACCCGCATCACAGAGTCGGTTGCCAGCAACGACTCCAACACGACACTGCCCAACGGCGGAGACGCAGAAAACCCCATGGACCCTATAGAGCGCCAGAACATCGTCATAGCCGCCCTCCGCGTGCCCGGTTATGTGCCCCACGCTGCCATCGACTATGCCAACGACCTGCAGTCGCAGCGCAACAAGGGCAAGAACATCCCGGCCTTTGCCAAGATTGCTGCCCGCGACTGGTGCTTCTTCGTTCAGGACACGCAAGTTAGAATCGGCCGTGTAGACTCGAACACGCGCTCCAACCAGCAGAGCTCTCAGCCCGACCTCTCTGGGCTGCCTCCAAGTGACCCCAACCGCCAGGACTGGGGCGTGCACATTGACCTCGGACCTGAGCGCCAGATATCCCGCGTCCACGCCGAGATCAACTTTGAGGTTGACGACCAGCAGTGGTACATCACCGTGAACAGCCGCAACGGTCTCAAGCTGGACGACCGCCATCTCACCAGAGGCGACAAGGCACCCCTACACTCGGGTATCTGCATCAGCATTATGAGTACACAGATGCTGTTCCTTCTCGCCAACCAGGAGGACCACTTCCACCCCATGCTGTGGCGCCAGGTTAAGAATGAGGACGCCGCCGAGTCTGACAATGACGGCAACCCGCCGCCAAAACCCCATCAGCACGCGCATCCCAGCGGACCGACGCCCAAGCGCGACCAGTACGATCCGTTCCCACCGTCTTCGCACCCTCGCAACAAACACCAATCGTCACAAGCATACTACAACCAGATGACATCCACCCCGGGATACCCGCAACCCGGTACCCCCATGACTTTCCGCGGCGAGAAGGACCCGCGCAGCAAAGGCTCACCTGCTACCTTCTCTCGAGCAGTTCTACTAGAAAATGGCGACGATATTGACTACAGCTTAGACTCAACCAAAGAAATCAAGCCGCCTCACAGCTATGCCCAGCTCATCGGCCAAGCGATCCTCAGTAGCGAGGAAGAGATGCTCACGCTTGCCAACATTTACGACTACATCAAGTCCCGGTATGCATTCTTTCGCCACACAAACAGCGGCTGGCAGAACAGCATTCGACACAATCTGTCCCTCAACAAGTCGTTTGAGAAAGTTGCACGCCGCACCGACGAGCCTGGCAAGGGTATGAAGTGGAAGATTGCAGAGTCAGAGAAGGAAGAGTTCATCAAGAAGCAACTGCTTAACCCTCGCAAGGGCGGCGTGGCAATCGGATACCGCATAGACGGCTCAGGGCCTAGTTCGCCCGCGCTGGGCAATCCATCTCAAGCCACCGAGCGCCTTGTAGGTGCCTTGGAGCGCGACAACCGCCAAAGCCAATACCCTCCTCGCGTCAAGTCGCCTCCACGATCCGCTACGCCCCCGCTTTCGTCGGTCCCGATGGCCACCGAATCCTACACTCCAGACCGCGGCCCACGCCCATTTGGAGGTTTCAAGCAATCGCCGACTATACGCGACCAGGATCGGTTCGTCACTCCGGCGAAGCGCCTTGTTTATGGAGCCAATGACGGCCAGGAACCTGCTCACATCAAGCAGGACGAATCTCGACTGGAATCATCACCCGGTGTGGACCCCGTTAAGCAGAGTGTCCCTGGTATGAAGACAGACGTCGGTAACTCACCACCGACCCTGTACTCGGACACTGGGTCGAACAACATGAATGGCAACTACGATGCGAACCGAATGAACAATGCCCTCGTCACCCCACTTGTTTCCCGCCACGCACCCCGTCTCGCACCCCCAAGCACAGCTCAAATGCCCAGCCAGTACATGGCGTTCTCCAGTCCAGCACCTTTCTGGAAGTTCGTCGACCTTCCCAGCACACCTGCCAAAGCACCACTCGAGCTCAGCCCTATCAAACTACAACGTCCAGACTTCAAAGATGGCGATGACGACGACCACCCCAGTTCACCCCCCATGTTGCCGTACAACAGCGCAGAGCCCGAAGACAATGAAGATCAAGACCAAGATGTTGAGGAGAAAGGCGAAGAAGAGGAAGATGCCGGTCCGGAGAGTCCAAGTCGTACCGTCTCCAGACCCGCCAGTCGACATATTGGAAGCCAGCGTTCCCGGTCAAATAGCAATGTCAACGGACTTGGATTGGGTATCGTGGGCAACGGAGGGATGGTCCGCGGCGCCAGCCTGACGAGCTTCGAGGAGGAGCCTGAGCCCGAGGAGGAAAGCTATGATCTTTCAAAGTATGCTACGAATGCTTCCTTTTCTCCAGTAATGATACAATGCTAACAGTTCAACAGGGGCTTCCAGAAAATCGGCTCCTTCCACCGCAGCATGGCTCAAGCCCACGGCCTCGGCAGCATCGGCAGTCGCGCTACCGCTACACCACCACCTCATCCTCCCCATCTCGCGCGCACCAGTGTCCCTGCAAACATGTAGACTGAGTTGCAAGAATCAGAACAAGAATCGGCAGCGATATTTCTCCTTCTTTCACGCTTCGGTACAGATTCTATACTATAGGACGACGGTGTGGAAGGACCAGAATCTCCAAAATGAGCGGAAGTTGGATTATGACAGTTACGACACTTTCTTGTTGTGTGTTTGATTAGGTTGCATCTCGGTTTCTCGGTCCGCATAGCTCTGCGTATGGAGTTGAGTGTGTTACTTCTTTTTCAATGTTGTCCTATTATGTCGCATCATTACATCGATCGTATCACTCCGCTTATGGCGTTCTATGGGGCATTATGGCATATCGGGCGGAAAAGGGTGCGCTATGATAATGATGGTGTGTTTGGTATTCTGTTTTTTTATTGTCTGCATCGGTTATAGGGGAGAGGAGTAAGATAGGGTGTGTCTGTGCGTGTGCATGGAATAGTGGCTAGTGGGTAGTTCGGAGGGTGATGCCTTGATGTAGTCTCAGTCAGGGAATGGAAAGCATATACTTTGAAAACGTTTTCGTACTTGGCTAACCGACGTGTTCGTCGGTGTGAAGATTGAGGATAGGAACAGTTTACCATGCATGGCCTGTAGTTATTCTAGCTTCGATGCCAGACTTCGTTTGGTACGGGTCAAATATCAGCTGTCCGCTTGCACATACACCACCTCACGTATATAGCTTGATACCTCATCACTTTCAATTCCCTCTCATTGTTCCCTCCCTGCTAGCCGTGCAGGTAACATAAGCTACCTAGGTACCGATATACACGTTTCCCTCTCCCTTTCCATCCCATCTGTTGTCCCTCCCGTTATAGTCAGAGCAATGCGCAGTCCGACTTCCCTCTAGTTAATCTCCTTGTGCGGGAACCACTTGCTCGGCTTAAGGTTCTTCTCCTCAAGCGGCGCATCCAACACGCCCAATCGCCTTATCTCGCCCGCGGACGGTGCGTCGTCGCGTTTTATGTTGGCTTCGGCTTTGCGGTATGCGGCTTGCAGGGCGAGGGTACGGGCAGCCT